AGATACCTCTCGGTGCTTCAGTAGTTAACGCCTCGTACTCACGACGTGGAGGTCCCACGTTCGATTCCGCGCGCCGGAGTGTTTTTTCTAAGATTTTTTCTCTCTTTCGTTTTCATATATAGAGATACGTATACATATGAGGTGCATGAAATCGACACCGACACCAACGGTGAAATCCAGCCGAGAGTGCCCATATAATTGCTATCATAATAATAAGTAAGTAAATAGTTTTAAAAATAAATTTCAAACAGAGTGCTACCTATTGCCACATCTCTTGAATACTTAGTAATTATATCCATTATTCCCAAAGGCCTTACTCATTGTTAAAAAATCAGCTTACTTTCACAACTGGATATCGAAAGATCCTTAGTGTGCACCACTAACTATCTTTTGAGCAAGTCCACACAGTCTGTGAGCTTGCGTTCTACATAATTTTGTAACACCCATGTGAAACTCCTACCGAACAACGTAAGTTTTTGAGCCTGTGTTCGCCATTGTAAGCGGCGTACGTAACACTCTTACGCTTAGAAAACCAGACAATACTTTCTTTGAGTACATGGCGGTGAACAATCAACTCTTAAAGTAATTAGCTGTTCTTTCTAAACACTATCTTATATACGCTGCATGAGCAATATATACTTCTGCCTAAAAGACGTGCTCGTATTCAACACGAAAAAAGGTAATCTGGTTAATTCACTCGGGGACAGCATAGAAGTTGATAACTCCTCGCCGTGGTGGTCTAGTGGCTAAGGTACTCGGCTGTTGACCCGCCGGTCGCGGGTTCGAATCCCGGCTGTGGCGGCTGCATTTCTGATGGAGGTGGAAATGTTGTAGGCCCGTGTGTTCAGACTTGGGTGCACGTTAAAGAACCCCAGGTGGTCGAAATTTCCGGAGCCCTCCACTACGGCGTCTCTCATAATCATATGGTGGTTTTGGGACGTTAAACCCCACATATCTATTAGAAGTTGATAATTCAATCTGGTAACCTTGATCTGGTGGGTTGAAAGTACGGCCGTGATGGCAGCACTGTGACATGAGCGTAACGCGGACACACTAGGGTGCCTAAAATAAAAGGCGCAATGGACAGCCGTTGGTTCAAAACATGCGCTCGTTTTGCGTTTCACCATGTGATTTTACCATAATTAAAATAACTTAATCATACAAGATAACTTTCCTAAAAACGGGGCTTTTGTAAACTTTTCTTTAGAATCAGAGACAACGAAACATTAGGTGAGCAATAGTATGCCGTTAGCACGTACTCAACATTGGGTAATTTTATCTCTACATTCATAGTCCTTACCCTCCGGCCTGCAAGTAGCGGCGACGAGCAGTACACCCAGCACCATCACGACAGTTAGGCGAGCCATATTTCGAATGGGACTCAGCGATTCAAAGATTTTTATATGTCTTCCGTGGTTTTTATATACAGTCACGCATTGTCGAAGAACCTGGTAGGTAGAATGCCTTGTTAGTCGCGTTTCTGGCGTTCATACCGAGCCGAAAGCAACGCGTGCTGATGAATGAACACACATAAGTGTCACTGCAGCTCATGCGTCCTGTCGACAAGACGAACTATTGTTTTGGCACGACGTAGAAAGCAGCAGTGTCATTTCAATATACCGTTAAATATTCAGTACATGCGAAACGCTGGATGTATGCCGTTGTTTTCACGAACACAAGAGGCATGAAAATAGGCTTGCTGCGACTTTCCTGTTTAAACTGACAACACTGAGGTATGAAAAAAAAAATGAAATCTAATGAACGCTGCCAATAGCTCTTTTCGCCTACTCGGCTTAAAACAAAAGAAAACGAAAAATTCAAATACGCTTATTCTGTACACCAGAAGAGGTGAGTCAGAGGATTATTCACACATCGGTCGATTGCAATCTCTCAGAACACCTGCCCGTGTAACACAAAGCACATGTGTGCGCTGTGTTGTAGATGAAATGCGCTTATCACGAGCAAAAGCTCAAAAAAAAAAGAACGGTGCTAATTTTTTATGTCTCTCAACAATAATATCTTGAGATTAATGTCTCAAAGGCAAGATATGATCATCACAGATGCCGGTGTAGAAATACTCGGGAAATTTTGACCATATGGCATTCTTTAACGGGCACCATCGTTACACAGTACGTAGGCTTCTACCATTTTGGGTACATCGAAATGTCACCACCAAGGTCGAGATCGGAACCCGCCGCATCCAATCCCCGTAACCGCAACGCCATCCTGGCGGACCATGGTTCTATCTCCGTTCTCGGAGAGGCAAAGAATAAAACTTTATTTGTATGTCTGTTTTAACCCCTCCCCTTCCCCTCTGTCTGTGAACCCCCGAACTGTCGCACGCCAAGAGTGTACGGCCAAGCATGCTGATTTCCAGGATGACGACGGCAGCCCTAATCACCGCAGCAAGATGCAACACCGGGTTTAGACCACAGTTCGATGTCTCAGTCCTCCAATTTAGAGATGGCTGACTCCTTGATGTTTAAGACCACCAGGACAACTTCATTCGCTAAATTTCTAACCCATGCGTGTACTCATCGCTTAATCATCTGTACTAATGAAGTGAGCATGTAATCATCAAAACTGTAAGATATGGGATAAAAAAAAACTAAAGGTAGAAATAACTTTATAAGCTGTTTTCTCCTACTAAAAAGATAGATTGTTTGTTTTTTTAGCTTCATACGTAGTAAAATCAAGGACCTCTCCAACCCGTTATTCTTCTATTTTTTTTGTGGGATAGTGCCAACGAAACGAAAAAGACTTCATCATCATCATTTACCATATTAATGATGGATTGTAGGGCTTAATTTCGAGCATTATCAGCAGTTCTGTTTCGTCTAGCATTAGTCCACGCCAATGATCAACATCATAGCCTGTATGCGCTCTCTTCACCCTCTTGTTGCTCTAGGCCATCTTCTGCTTTACTCGCAAAACACGTGTACAGATTTGTCTCACATGATCTCCAAAACACATGATGAGTAGGAGAACGCGTTCACAGAGAATAAAAGACAAAGAAAAAACACACGGAAAGAAACGAAAAAGAAAGAAAGTTTCTGAACTTGTTGGCTGTTTAGTGCTTAACCTGGGAGCGTACGTGACACCACATTCGGGCACAGTGCGCAAAGGCTTCAACCAAGCAGCAAAAAAAAAAAAAAAACAAAGTACGTGCATGTAACAATGAACATTTCAGACTATACTAGAATGGATATTGCAAGTGCAATGGCCAAGTGCCAACGGCGTGGTAATTCCTTCTTTTGCAAATTTGCGATATAGCCACAACACATCAATAAGGTGCCACATGAACCTGCGCAACTGCACAATTTGTAATGGGCGGACACCTTGAAACAACGTGCTCGTTGCGCAAGTATAGCATATTTTTTCACCTCGTGCAATCAATAATTTTCACAGCGCAATAATACTGCCACGTTCTTTTCCTCAAGTTTTGTTGTCGTCCCGTTACACTGTACGTAATATTCAGCGCAAAACGCGTCTGCAGTGTTCGAGAAGATTCGGGACTGTTGTAGACCATTTCGTTTGCATTACGCCCACTCCGTGAACATTATCATTCTGGAATCTAGGTCCCCATTAGCGATAAGACTAGAACATTTGATGGCACGTGTATAAATGCCGACGCGCTTCACAGCTTGTCAGTTGATCGACGGCCGACGCTCTGTTCGCTGGTATCGGTGCCAGTGTATATCGCTGTATGCTTACTTTTCCTTTGTCGCCAACATGTTCAGCCCGTATAAACAGTCTCATCTTCGATCTATATAGTCTGCTCCCTTCGTCCACGTCAGGAGCCTGTGATAATACGTATACCTTACGGATAATGTTCGCATTACATGAGGTCGCAGTAGCAGGTTTTAAAGGAGTGTCACGCAACTGTGCGTCAGTCTGTCCCTGTAGCACAACGCCTGCTTACCGTGCACGCGAAAGGCCTATATAGGTGATTCCCACCCGAACCAAAGTATTTATTCTATAGATCTCCAATTTGCGGTGAAGGACAACATTGATTTTCCCCTGACGACCAGCGAAGCCGGCACTGACACTGCATTTTTTTTTGTAAAGTCATCTCCTAAATGCTATCGCTGTGACAAAGTTCTACACGAGGCAGGATTCATACCATCGTACCCACGATCTTAATGCTAGCATCATAACCACTCGGTTGTCGAGGCACGCGAGTAGAGCACAAAATCTTCTTGTATCTTGTACTACACCAAAAGTCTAGAAGAAGTAATTGTTGGGAGAATGAGAGATGTGACGGCGAGGTGAAAGGAAAAAGAATAGGGTGAACGAGCAAAGTATAGTGTAGAAACAAAAATGAAGTAATAGGAAATGAAAGAATAACGGGAAAACATATCCAATGAAAGAGTTATAACAAAGGCACAAGCCTGAGGTAGACAGAAAAAAGTAGCAGAAAATGAAGTAATGAAAAAAGAGACATCAAAATATAAAGAACGGAAAACAATCACAGAAATGCACACTTAATTATAAACATGAAGACAAACGAGGAAAGCTGCCTCGCAACGTTCTTACTGGCTTGAAAACACCAGTGCAAAACTCGGTAAATTTTCCGGGCAATATTGATAGAAAGTTTATTTTTGGTTGCTTTTTTATTATTTCAACGCGAATTCTTCCGGATGTACGTGGTATTATATGTCCTGTTTTAAAGGGACTCGCATCATAGCCGAAATTGTGGGTGTTTCGTGGCATAGGTTTCAATATAACAGGGAACGAATGCGACGAAACCTTTGGGCTAATTGTGTAAATAGATTATGCATAAACAAGCTATCACTGTTACTATAGCATTGTTATACCCTTTACCAGCCAGTATAAGCCGCTTACCTTTGATGTGTGCTGTAAACTTCACTCCATTTTCGTCGATCACTTGCTGTGGGCATTCGCCATGAATAAAAGAAGACACGAAACGTGCCCACGAGCTTTTCATTTCGAGATTGCAGAGATTAGAACGTCTGTAACCGCCCTCCTTTTCCTGCAACATGACTGTCTTGAATCTAAACGTCGTCTTTGGACTGGGAATCCTCTACGGCGTCGTCTGGTTCCTCGTCATCCAGCTGTCGCAGCTCGCGTTCCCCTTCTGCGACCACCCGAAGAAGTGCTTCGACTACGCGGAGGAGCTTGCCGCCAGCGTGGATGCCAGGATCAATCCCTGCGACAACATGTACGAGCACGTGTGCGGCAAGTGGGACAGGCTCCACCCGTACCCGAGTCAGGGTGCCGGGGGCCAGTTCCGGGTGCTACAGTATCGGGTGCTCTGGTTCCTCTTCAACAAGCTCGAGCAGTCGCCTCCTAAGCACCCCGTAGCAGCGGTCCGCACCAGCGTCTCCGCCTTCCAGACCTGCACGAATGTCTACGAAGAGGGCAGAGATGACGTCAAGGTGAGCTGTTCTTTTAACCCTTAAATGCGTGAATTACGAAACAGCCTAAAATATAAAAAAAACTTTTTTTCACTTTCCAGGTTTCAGTAGAAACCTTTAAATGATTATACAGAAAAATATTCTAAAATTAAACTTTAATGCAAACGTTTATGTACATCGAAAATTCTCCGTATTCCACAGAATCGAAGACCTTGAAACGAAAATTGGCCTCATGTCCGCATGACAATCTCCAAATGTCATCAAAAGACGATAGTCTTGCGTCTGAAGAGAGTGAACAAAACGTTTATTTGATGTTCTGCGCAAGAAAATTTGTGAATGGTATTCTGTAGGCACTGCGTTAGAGTGCCTCGAGTGTGCAGCGAAAGTGAACGAGTGCGTCAAGTCACGACACACGTGAGACAAGAGCGCTATCTGGCAGTTTTCTTAGAAAGCGAAGCGTGCGGCTCTGAGACGGGTGGCGATAAGGTGTAGAACGCAAGGTGACAGGAAGGGCCATCACTGTGTCGTCTTAGAAAAACGTTGGAAACACTTGCCTTTTCGTGCAAGCGTTGCATGGTCAGCGCAGCGTGATAACCGCTGCGGTCGTTATAGTTACTTGTGTATGCATTTTCTAGTAATACACGCACGTACAGAGTATATACGTATTGTTATGGTGCCTCAAATATGCGCAATAATTTCTTTTTATTCGACTATTGCACAAGTATGAACGCTGAACCTAGAGCAACATTAGTGAGCGCTGCAGATGCGGTCGGCCGTTTGGGGTACCGGCTGGTGGTGCTTAGAGTTCTCGATATCGTTAGGGGCGGAGAAATAGACAAATAGACATACGTACCAACATTTTTGCGTCAAAGGTCCCCTCCAAAGGTCTCTGGTGCACAAAAAGGCATACACACAAATTTGTGGAGTGCATTTCATTCGTCATTTATCTTATTCTGTTCACATGTGGGAAAAAATATGTCGGCCAAACCAGTAGGTGTGTGAATTAGCGATTGAGAGAACACAATTACAAGGCGAATAACCTGCCGCCAGAAGGTTTTCTTGCTCTTCACCTTCACGCGTGTGGCTGCCGGCCTTTGTTCCAGAGTACAATCATTGTTGGTCGGCATAAGGATGAGATGACTCGGTTGATCATAGAAGCCGAACTTATTGATGCTCTTGGAGATGTATGTATTAGCAAGCCTTCAATTGCCTTGCACCCAAGGAACTGGCGTTCTTGCGTACGCAGTGATACGTGATTTTATTTGTGAGGTTTTTTGTTGTCCTATTTATCGTTTTTGTTGTAGGTAGATGGCATTGTCGTCGATATATCTGAATTACACGTGCTTATCTGCTTGGTCGTCTGACAATTATGGCTTAAAAGCAGCTTGGAGGTCGAAAATAAACATGTTGTTGATAGTAGCGCTCTGTCTTCTCAGTCTCTCCTTTCCTGTGTTCGTTTTTTCGCCTCGCGCTACATAACTTTTTTTCAAAAGCCCTTATTAAGTTAAAAGATTTATCAAGAGTACTTCGCTACAATATTATTGCCATCCAAAAATGCATAACTGGTGCATTACGCCATGAAGTGAGCTAATTTACTTGGAAGCCAACCAAATTTTTCCTGTGCAAGGAGCTTTCATTTCTCCTTAAAGTTTAAGTAACTCAGCAGTTTTTTCCTGTTGCGTAAAAAGAGAGAGCTCGATGCTTGCAGTTTACCTGTACATCTGTACCTTCGCAGATTGTGCTGGACATATTCAGGAAGTTCAACTTCGAGTGGCCCTCGATGAGGCTTCCCGCAGACTTTGACCTGCTGGAGTACCTTCTGGGCATGTCGCTCGAGTACGGTATCCCAACGCCAGCTGTGCTGAGCCTCACGCCAGACTTGAAGACCGACAAGCGGTATGGCTTGGCGCTTGAGATTCACATAGTCACGGATGCCGACGACAACAAAACAGCTGGCACTGAGTACGTGGAGAAGTGTATGATGCACGTGGCGCCATCGGTGACGACGGACTTGGCAAGTGCGTTTGCCGAACGCATTCACAATACCGCGTCCGACATAGTCACGGCCGCGTTCGCCATCTATCCAAGCCAGAGGGTGTCCCTGAACTTCACTTCCATCGAGAAGCTGGCAGACGACGTGGCCGGGCACGGTACGGTAGACGAGTGGCTGAAGGTTATCAACGGTCACATGCTACCCGACCGGTTGGTAAACAAGACAGAGCCCGTCCTGGCGGTCAACGGCAGTGGCTTGCTTCTCAAAGCTATTCTGGACAACGCCAAGCAGTCCAGCTACGTCGACCTGGTGCTGTACACAGGCTGGATGACGTTCTATAGCCTGCGAGCACTGGTGTCTTCCTCGCTCGTGGAGTGTATGGATGGGACCGGCATTCAGGCACGGATACAGTCCGCGACTCAGTGCTTGGAAATCATGTCCCAGGTTCGTACATATCCTGTTGAAGAAACTGTGTTTTATTATCTGTAGGTGCCAACTCCTCAAGGCATTGCCCTATTGATCGGTCAAGTAAACGTTTTGTGGTAAAGCGTCATGACACAAGAAGACGAGTCGGAGCCACATGAGATCCGGCGAGGTATAGTTGAAGGCAATACGTGAGAAAATGCCGTGCTATTGATTAATTTGCAAAAAATGACTACAGAATGAACGTAGACCCCATTTCGTCGGCTAGAAAAAAAGACAATAATGGTCTGTGGACGACTTCGATTGCATGAAACCGTAAGCACGAGGGCTGTAGAAATATGTAGCATTTTGTTTCTCTCTTACTCCAAGACCACGCTGATACTGAAGTAAGAGTTTACGAAGATCGCAACCAGTAATTGCTCAGACCACATTGTGAACGTTTCACACCACCATGCCAGCAATCAATGCATTAACAATGCTTAGTCATTACGTTTTTGAATTCCTAGCTCTGAAAACAAATGCACTCACACTATCTGTATTCAATCCAAATCATTCCACACCTTTTAATTTCGGGATTTCTTCAGCAGATGATTAAGACCTGGCACATTCTGGTAAAACGCTCGTACTTCACTTATTGGCTATTCTTTATATCGCGTTTTTTTGTTTACAAGATAGTCCCGGTGCCGAAAGTAACCAGAATACCCCCAGACAGCAAGACGTTCCAAGAGCATGACCTGACTCCTAAGAAGTCTCATTTTGTGAATAAAATAATTATGTTACAATATATCACCTACTCAAGCTCTACCACAAGGACATGAAGATAGAAACGCGCAAATTTGATGAACTATGCTACGGGTACCATGACAAAGCAGTTCGCAGCTGTTCCGCGATTGTTGCCCACCAGAAAACAAACAAAAAAATACCGAAACGTACACAGTGTTTTTTTATAGAGACAGTATGCCTTTTTGCAGCTGTTTTACAAACACAACTTAAAGCATTAGTTATGAACGTATAACGCATGGACGTATAATCAGCAATATTCATATAAAAGTGTCTTTTTTATATCAAGAACTTCCGTGTGCAAATTCTATCGTATTCCATGGTCGTCTTCGCAAGTGAAATATGTTCTGACGTGGAGAAGCATTCGGGCACTTAAGATTACCCTTAACTAAGTAACGAAAAACTTTTATTTTTTCTAACTGGTCGCTCGAGGATAATTATGCGCATGAACGAAAATCGGCACATGCCACTCACCATGTTAGGTAATCGTATGCAAATCAATGGGCACGTGTAATGATCTTCATAGCATTTTTTACTGCTTTAAGTCAAGCATTGCGACTAAAGCCAATTTCTTTATGCACTTTAATATAGCGCAAAAGGCATGTGGAGGACGAGATTTGCAGGAGGACAACGTTTGCAATGTATTACCAACTAGTTCGGATTTCTGTACTACTGCAGTTCGTTATGCATTTGAGTACTCACGTGTATGGCAGACTTCTAGCGAGCAATTTTGTTTTTTTAGAAAGAACCAATTACTGAATTATTTAGCAAACGAGACAAGTGCGTATTTGAGTCGGATGTAGAGGCGGAAGAACTCATTAACTTCACGCTTTGTGGCCCCCATGGCTAAGCTACTGAAAGTGTGCTTATCAATCACACCGACGTCAGTGACGCGCATATATAGCTGTCCGATTCTGTTAAGTTAAGCCGGTGCTCGTATTTCAGCCCAGATATGGCTTTACTCGAAACGAAGTGGACTTTATTTTTTGATTGTGTCTACATAATATTCAGTTTCAGTCATATCCTTGTGAATGGGCAGGGGTTAAGCCATAGGAGTTCATACGTAATATTTCTCACGATGTTAGGGATCATTACAAGCACAGTAAGCCTTGCTGCTATGAGAGGTCATTATGAGGTCCTTTTGATAAGTAACTTCAAGCGCCAGCGTAAGTCCGTGATGAATAGTTGATGGAAACGCCAAACGCTTAGTTTCGATTTGGGCTCTCACGGGGAATCCTTATTTTTCCATTCATTTCATTTTTCCCTCACCGATAAAGCAGCCGAGTACTGCACTGCCTGTGATAGCAAGCTTCGTAACACATTTTCATAAAATTCTTGGCGGGGTTTGGTGCAAACTATAATAACCTATGAAAATTACTTGCACTGCTGCGGCCGTAGTACGCAGATATGTGCCACGCATGACTGAAGGAAAGGGTTTTGCGACTTACACGACAACCAGTATGTCAGAACCATTTTGTTGTATTCGCAATACACAAATTCTCATCCGCAAAAATTTAGGTGTGAAATAAGGGGCATCACCACGTTAGTGGCCTATTGTACGTGGCTAGAGATAGATACGGAGATAGAAATGGTCAAAAAGCCTGCAGCTGGTTAAGAAGTGCTTCGTCTTTGAATGCGGAATTGGTGACAAGGCGAATGCCGTGTTCTCCTTTTCTTTTCGTTCGACTGAATTAATGAGCCATTTCTGACAAGCCGTTGCCTTCAAAATCTTTTGATGAGACAATCCTTAGTTGTAGTAAAGCAGTGTTATCAGGGCGATCAGTTCTCAGGGTGATCAGTACGGAAGCGCGCGTAACTTTCGAAGTCACGATACGCAGGTTTCCACGTATGCCTTTGTTCGGCTGATGCTGGACAGCCTGGAGCTGCAGCCACAGGTGAACGACACGATGCGCACCTGGACGGCTGTGAAGCGGGCCACGAGGGCAAACTTCCACAAGCTCTCCTGGATGGACCGGTCGACAGCCGAGGGCGCCGTCAAACACGTGGACAGTCTGATCACCGTACTAGCCATGCCGGAACACCTCAAGACTGACGAGGCTCTGGAGAAATACTACTTCTTCTTAGACCAGAACGTGACGCAGCCGTTTATAGCGTGGCATTACAGCACGTTCCAACGGCGCCTTCAGGAGGAGAAGCGTCTTATGAAGGAAGACCCGGCAGTTCCCGTCCATCGCGAGGACATACCGTACGGCGCTTCCAGTGTGAACGCGTTTTACGCACCGCTGTTCCACCTCATGGCCATCTTACCTGGCATCATGAACGCACCGTTCGCGCCAAGTACCACTTCGCACTCCGTCGTAACAGGCGCCATCGGAAAAGTGTTGGGGCACGAACTGACGCACGCTTTCGACCCGCTCTTCAGCACCCTGACTAGGACCGGAGACGCGGCGACGTGGTGGTCCACGGAGTCCTTCGGCAAGTTCCGCGAGCGACTGGACTGCGTCAAGAACTTATTGGGGAATTACACATCGGACGCTGTGTTCAGTAAGAACGCGCTTTCCGAAACGTTCGCCGATACGGCCGGCACGGAGAAAGCTCGGCTCGCGTACAATTCCATGCAAGCGACCAGAGGAATCTTGTCTTACACGCCCGAGCAGTCGTTCTACGTGGCCAGCTGCTTCGTATTCTGCTCGGAGGGCGCGTACAGTTGGAGGAAAAGTGGGATATACCCACCCATGATGCTCCGCTGTAACCTGCCATTGCACAACCAAGAGAGGTTTGCGGAGGCGTTCAACTGTCCTGTGGGTGCGGCGCTAAATCCAAAAAACAGGTGCACGTTCCACGTGTCCAAGGAGAAATAATTGGGCATCGATGGGTTGCGTAGTGTGGACGATAAAGATGATGGTATGTCGTGTGAAGAGCGCTTTATATTTTAACAATTATTTCTCGCCGTGCATGTTGTCCCTGGTGAGACTATATGCACAGCCTTGCAGAGATTTGAGAAGGAAAGAAGTTGGCGAGAAGCTCGCTGTATCTAGATCCCACTTTAAATTTAACGGTTGATTCTGTGCATGTCTGCATATGACACGTTGGCGCTTAGCAGTGCTTACAATGTTACCATCAGAATAGTAGCTGGAGTGAATGGTTGAGTCATTGAATGTTGGAATTGAAGAAATCACAAACAAAACAAGCCATCACCCTACCGCAATCGTAAAACTAAAAGAAACCAATTATTCAGGGTTGTGGCAGCTGTATATGCCTTATTCGCCGTCTATTACTCATTGTGTTCAAGATTTGTTAGAGTAAGAGTGCGTAGTTGTATTATACCGTTGAATTGGAATCGCAAATAAATAATATAAATTGGCAGTGGTAGGGCACGATGTGAAGGTCGTGTGACCGTTGGAGCGATAGGATGGGTACTTAAATATGAGAAGAAAGCTGGTATGATGAAAATAAGTATGCGTAACGAAACATGTTCAGGCGCTAACAAAGTTGGTTCACGCAGGACAGAGTAAGCCTAAATGAGAGATTGCTACCGCCGGCATTTCTACTGCAATACACCTGAGGCTGTTCTCGGCGAGGATTGCGACACAGATGAATCGCACTTAGTGTAAATGTTTACGCACTTTTTGAAATATAGACACTGTATTGAACAGCTTTGACGGGGCCTAGAAATCAAAATAACGTACACAAAGGAATAATGATTGACCATAACACCAAACGACGCTTTAAAGTCACTTAGGAGCAGCTGGGTCCCCTTGTTAACTTCGTATTTTAACGCGACAGCGATAAAGAGCTTGTTTCGCAGAAATTACGACTTCAGCGTCACTAGACGTGAGCGAAAAATCATCTTTGCGTGACATAAAAAGTAAGCATGTTTGTGTGACCGAAAAATTCTAGAAAAGCGCAAATAAAATAAAAAATTCTTGGTCTGAGTGGGGATCACATCGGAGTCGCTTTTGAGGCAAGCAGGCTTTCTACCACACAGCCAGGCCTCTACTTGTGAATAGAGTGAAAAAAAAAAACCTCCTCTACTTGGAAACGCAATGAAAGCAACACTCATGCTTTACCAAACACGCGTCCTGTATACAAGTTTCACAATACAACATGAAATATTGCCATAAGAATGTGTGGTACACGCGTACGTTGCCAATGAAGTGCCCGAATATGGGATTCGGACATTCACTCGTATACTACAACTCGTATACTAAAAGATACACACGCTACTACACCATTACTTCCAGGTAGTGGGAGGATTTATACACAACACAAACCAGAAGTAAAATACCTAGGCGTATTTATCCACTGCCAAGCTCTGAACTCGACAGATCAGAAGTGGTAAACATGAGGCCGTCCCCAACCTTACTCATTTTAGAAGGATATATCCAGACGTGTATCCAGTTAATACTTGCAAAGTGTGCGGCTGGACTCGCGCATCCCTTACAGGTGAATTCTCTGGGAAAGGTGAACTTTTGACAGAACAAAATTCAGTCTCCCCCACATTAAGCTGTGACGTGTTAGACATCTCTGCTGCGCCGCTCCAACGTCCAGGATAAGCTGTGGGCCATCCAGCGAGCCCGCGAGGTGACGAGAAAACAGGGTCTCCGTTCACTCTCGGGGGCGGCCAAGGCCTAGGCCACGATGTTTCCGGAGTTATAATAATAAAGTTGTTATGACCACCACCACTAAAAGTTGGAAGTATGCACTACATCCTAAAATACTACGCTTAATGTCACGATGAGCTGTAAATTCAAGCTTGATGCGCATGTAAATGAGCCATGGATGACGTTTTTAGCAAAAGCAAGCGTGCAGTTCTTTCAGGTCAGCGTGAGGGCAAGTCTGCGTGCCGTGCTTTTGTCATGTGCAAGCCTGAGCGAGCCGTGAACGTGTGTGCAGCGGATATCACACGCTTACAATTGCTCGGCGAACACGTGTAAGGATTTGCCATCACTCATCCACAAATCCAAATAGGGGAGCCGCAATATGCGGCGTCGCCAGACCCTTCAGAGAAATACGCGCCCTTGGAGAGAAGTATGAAACTTTTCTTCGTAGAAGGTTTTCGAAGATCGTGCGTTTCAAAGGCGGCTTTTCTCCATACTTATTGCAGATTCAGCAGAAGGCTGTGGTAGGGTCTGTTTGTTGGAGTGCAAACAGTTTGGCTGGTTTCACTTCTACAGACGTTCTTGACGTTCGACGCGAGTGGAGAAGGCACACCAACTGTCTCCGTTACGTGTTATGTGACAAAATTCAACGCGCTCTGACGATTCGGGAGAAACAGTTTTACATGGATGCTGCATATATTGAGACGACAGAACTGTCATTAATGAACCATTGAGATGTAAGTAAGCACTTTTGTCGTGTTTCGATCGTACTCTACGGCAGCCGACATGAATGATTTGCAACAGTTTCATTAATGCTCGTCTTAAGTGAGGAGTGTAAGGTGGGCACTATTTGTTTAGCGGAGGGTGATAACCTGCTGTCGTGTTAATAACACACTGTGTCTGCATATCTCTATTATATATATTCCATCATATTTTTCCAAACAGCTTTATGGCCGGACTAGTGAATTCCTTAGAGATGATGTGTTTCAACGCGTGTGTAGGTGTGTTGCTTTTTTTCGGGTTTTTTTTTCTGACAGTGATGTGTTTCTAACTGGTCATTTGCACCCTCGCTTATCCTTATATGCGCTTCATAGGTTATGTTTTTTACAGACACAGTCGAAGGACCCAATAAAACTTAGAGCTTTCTGCGTAGAAAAGAAGGTTTATCTTTGGCGGGAGTGACGTATGCAAATGATATAAAACTATAAGCATTTGTCATCTACACTTCTTTAATTTTGCTTTGTTCTAGTTTTATCCCCTGCTATTGATAATTTTCATTGCCTAGTTCTATCAGATGTATTACTATCCGGTTATGTAATGTTTGTATTCTTACTGTTATTCAAGCTTATCAGTCATTGCTCGCAAATTTGCACCTTTTACTGTACTTTTTTAGTAATTACTCTATTCATGTCGCCATAGGAGGTCCCCCCGTCAGTTTCTCTGAAACTTTGGGACTTCCTCCTGTGCTAGTTCAATCGTGTAATCGAATGTATAAATTGTGATAAACTTGAACTGACCTGACTTGAACAAAAAAAGAATTGAAATGAGCGAAGAGTCGTCTCCGCAGAATGCACTAGAGATCTGCCTATGCCTGTATTACATGACAGATTTGACACATCTGGCAGCATATGAAGACCTGCTTAGCTTCGTCTAGTCAGTTATGAAACCAGGTCGAAGCAAAGAGTCATCAAGAGCACAAATAGATTAAAGAACTTGATCACTGCACTGCGCTCTTAAATTGACAATTTACACCAGCTTAAGTTTCCTCAGTTAGACAAGAATATTACAGCTGTAAAATCTGTCATTCATTTTTAGCTATCATTTAGGTGCACCGAGTTTTCTGGGAGTGAACACTATTAGCATCAGAAAAGTGTATGGCTCATACGCTCTCTGTAGCATGTATTTTTCGCGTGTCTTACAATAAAAACCGAGAATAAAATATTTTGACCGCGTATTTTTGGTCGACAACAGTGTACACTAACAGCGTATCATCTCATACCTCGTGCTCATGATTCGCTCTATTCAAACGCTTAGCGTGCACAGCGTGCTTGATAAAACATTTGTTAATTTGTTCAAATTAATAGAAAGATAATTGTTTACACGGTATATTGCTTTTCTTCCTTAAAATGCACCAGGGCTGTCCAAAATCGTTTGTTAATACAATAGCTTCGATATCAATGGCAGGAACGTCTTGCGTGATTTTGCTGCAGAGTGTTCACCAACTGATTTGCCTGCTTGCTGCAGTTGGAGAGGAAAGAATAGCATTGCGGGAAAAGCCTACTTCGAAGGAGTGACACAAGCAGAGAGTGACTCGTGCTGACTGGTATCTGTGCCCAATGAAAGATTTGGGAGGGAGCGAGGCTCACGCAACTCCGCCCCTTTCTTTCTGTAGAGCACATGCTCGGCGCCATCTTTAAGTTAGCATATTAGTCACGCTATAAGAAGCGTGCGAAAAGCGGCTCATATGTCACGCCTGTCATGCATGAAGAGGAGCTCGCTGAGAACTCCTAGAGGGCGTAATTGGTAAACGTGGAGAAAAGTTATGCATAGCATATGCGTGTAAAAAAAAGGCTTGACACTCACGCATATGTAGACATGGTATTTCTTATACTGTGGGAAGAGAATATCGCTATCACGTTCAACTCCCTAACGCAAAGCCTAAGGGCCCCCCAATATTTTCCAGAAGATTAAGCCATGATCGACAATGAAGAGGAGCGCGCCTGAAAAATGCTATGATTTATGCGCTTAGCGACAAAATCGGATGACCGTAAGAGAAGCGCGTATTTGAGCAAACACGGAATAGCAGTAATTTCTTCATGAAAATTGCAAATGCGAAGGTGAAAGGGCCACCAATTCATCGACTGTTAGGCAAATTGCTGTACACGTCGAGGAAATGTGTCGTTGTGAACAATCAGCAGAAATCCTCTGGTAGGGACCAGAAGCGGGTTTCCCGTACGTGAGCCTTTTCTCCAAAGAACACAAAAGAATCATGTTATCGGTCAAAACTTTAACTATTGCGCATGAACAGCAGTTCATTTCTGCGTATCTGTATCACTGAATAAAATTCTGAAAATGGTGAGGACAAGCGCTAACAACAAAGCACACGTACAAAATGTTTTTACAGCTTCGCTCAGTCATAAGGCGCTCACAGGCAATCCATTATCCGCTGCACACGATAGTTAAAGTGTTGGCCAGCTGTACCTCAGCCGTTTCTTTAGTGGTTAAGTAAGAGGCTCAATGAAATAGGCAGCGTCGATTCA